CAATAGGTGGAACAGAAGCTGGCCCTTTGTGTCCACATTGCATATAGCATAGGATTGCAAACTGTGCAAGGGACAGAAATGGATGTTACATGACTGGGTAAGTGCCATTTGGTGCACAAAGTGAAAAAGGGTTCTGTCCACTCTGACTTTTCCAAACATTGTGATCCCTGGTAACTGTATCTGAGCCAAATCCACAGGGTTCAAACTGTGCCACTCCTTTTCTAGCACAATGGTTTGTATAGACCAATATACATGATGGCTGTTCTGATTTGGGGTTGGGGTGGCGGGGAAAGAGGTGCTGCCATCCTGCCTAAACACATAGGTTGTTGCTACGACTTCCTCTTTTAATAGATGTGCATATATAAGAGGTGCATAATTGCTTCAAAAGTAACTTGCTTAAGGTGCCTGAAAGCCTTTTTCCGGATTCTGCAGATTTAGCATAAACAAGCATTTTATTGGGGATGCTATGTGAATAGCGTAAAGTTAACAGGAAAAAAAAACCTCTTTATCCTGAACTTGTCAAAAGCAACGCAGTATCAAAAACCTTATTAGTTTTCAAAAGAGGTAGGGCAGCTTCAGCCTAATCATAGACAGGAGGTCTTCAAACTTTTGATGATGACATATGAAGGGCATTTCAACTGCTTTCTATAAAAGGAAAGTGCAGGAGTCTGGTACATATACAATCCTCAGCAGCATTTATGCTGTCATCTTCTCTATGACAATAACAAAGTGCACAAATGGTGGATGATTAGAAAGGTCAGTGAAGTGCTGCATTCAATTAAAATTATGGAGGTTTAAAAAAATCATTGGGCATCAGAAAATACTATTTTTGCGTACCTTTTTGCTGTAATTAGGAAATTCATGGAAAAAACAACATGGAAACAAAAAAGGAAAATCAGCAAAATGAGAATGTGAAAAATAATAAACAAAAATCAACCAAAAGTTAAAGCATCAATATTTGATGAAGAACAGTCATAAATGCAACATGCATGAGCTTGTAACAAAATTAATATTAAAAATAGTAAAAGTCACGGTTTGAATTTGGCTTCAAAGCAAGTGCTGTCATATACAGGAGGCTTCCAAGCTTTGTAATTGACACTAAACCTTATTCTGCAAACGAACTGGAGCACTTCACTCATTCAGACTTCTTTGTCTTCAACAGGAGTTTTGTGTGTCTATGTAAGATCAAGCCCCTGATCCCAGGAAAACCTACATTTGTTTCTGGTAAATGCTGGCCGTTTTCCCATTAATCCCATTAAAGAAATAAGTTATTTCCTACTACCCTAATTGAATGTTAACGTATTTTAGTCCCTTTTTTCAAATCACCATGCTTGCCAGCATTTCTGTTTTGAGTAATGGGCACATGTATTCTCTCCAGTCCTAAAAACAGAACAGCAGTTAGCTATGTTCTCTTAGGAGACAAATACCTTGGTGAAATAGAAGAGAAAGGCCTGTCACTGCCTAGGGCTGAATTATAGTATTGCTCTTCAGTGTCCTTTTGTGCATGCTCTCTTCAAAATAACAGACAACAGCTTGACTTTTCTAAGCACGAGGAGCACAAGGGTGCTGTGCTTCAGCATAAGTGTCAGTGGCAGTTTCCATTCAGGAACAAGTACAGTAAAGCAAGTGGCATAGTCCACTTCACTGTGTGGAAGTCTAGTCCCCTGGCACCTAACTCCTCTCTCAAAAGTGGGAGCTGGAAGAGAGGGAGGGTGTTGGCAGGAACCAAGCATACCTACAGAGAGAAGGGGGGCCATATCCTGAGCTGGTTTAAATGGAGGCAGCTCTTCAGCAATAGATAAAAAACAAATAGAGGTGGGAAAAAATTATCTCTGTGCTTGGCTAGTGATGTAAATAATTTTATCCCCAAATTCAGACAGCAGGTGAGTCCTGAATGGGGAAGGGGGACACTATTTGACCACATAACGCACTAAAGCAAGATTTAGACTCACTGAAAAAATGTGTTCTCAGGACAGTCCTCTGCACATGGAATGAAATGTCAGCACTATTTTGTTTTTAGGATAGTTAAGGCAACACTTTTCATATGAATTTTACCTCATTCCAGGCACAAAGGAAGTTCTAGAAAGTTTACTCCTCAAGTTAAACTGTCCAATTTCATTCAGTCTACAATGTCTTTGGAGTTGTGAAACACTTCACTGGTCAAAAAGAAGGAAGGATTTTGATGATCCCTAAGTCCGATTAGTGGCATCATAATATTGTACACTGTGATGCCATGTAATTACTGTATCCTGATAGTCAACGCATTCCTGAACCCCACTTTGAAGTTAATGGCATTGGCAGGTGTGCAGTCAGTGATTGTAAGACCAGGGTCATCGGCCACCGGGGAAAGTTAGAATTACCTTCCTGGACCTCTTCGGTGTGAGAGTATTATTATAACTTTGATTTTTCTATAGAGGATTTCTGCTGAATCCTGGGAAAGGGTGGGTATAATGTCATTTTATTGTCTCCTCTCCAGGGGGAAAGGAAACATGCCCCAAAATTCTCTTTCTTTTTGCATTTTTTTTCCCTTTTATGTGCTCTTTTTTCTGTTTTTTCTGTCCTTTTCTTTTCTTTTTCTTTTTGTTATCTGAGGTCAGCAGCAGCCAAGGAGTTTTATTTTATGGAAGGCCTGATGAGGGAAACTTAAGGGTTTGACTCCATACCCATTGAAATCTGTAGCAAAATTCTTACTGACACTAATAAAGCAGGTCATTTTTTCTTTGAAGCTGTTCCATGTATAATGCACTTCTACATTTGAGTAAGAAGCTATCTGGTACTCCCTAACTCAGATGAAAATCAGTACTGATTCTTCTCCACCAGAGCTTTTCTCTATCTAGCTATCTGCAAAAGGAAACACATATACTTGTAAACATTAAGCCCATGTTGACTGATACCAAGTCTAACATTTTAAATTAGAAATAGTAAATTGCTTTGAACATTTGTACCAATATTTCAGGAAATTCTGAAGAGAAAAACAGGATAGGAGTTGACAGCTTTGAATAAACTGAAAGATATATTCTGCTTAAATTGAAATAAATAATCAATTAGAGTCAATAACCTAATTTGCAAATTAAGATTTGTGAATGCAACATATGCCCCTGTACACTAGGCACCTTTTAAAAGTAGTGGAAGACATATAACTTCTCATTAAAACCAATTCACTGGGGCAGTATTTGTTTGTGATTTCTGTTGACCAGTTTTGCAAAACACAGAACATGGAAATCATGAACAACACATAACCCTGGAGGCTGGGGGGCACAGCAACCACCTGCAGGTGGTGGCAGCAGTGTTTGTGGCGGGGGCGTGGCAGCGGCGAGCAGGGACCGCCCACAGGCACAGCCACCGGTGGCAGCTTCAGCGATGGCCAATCTCGGGGGGGCACATGCCCCCACTACACATAACCTATGACAGAAATTTCAGCATAAATGATAACTGTTCCTCATCCAAGCAAGGCTGATCAACTCTATTGTCTTGTCCTCTTGCATTGTCTGCACAATATATGGAAAGCTATGAGGCTTCTAGCAGCATTAGCTTTTGCAGAGATTTTCACTTGGTCTCTAGAGGAACCTGCTTCAGAACATTATAGCCTGTCATGAGGTCTTGTTGCAGTTTCCGTAATGCAGTGGCCAGGGATGATCAGTGTGGAGGGAAGGGGGAGGGTGCAATGCACTCCCCTATGTTGCATTCCCCTATGATTCTTGCTCCATCTAAACTTCAAAACCAGCTGCCTGGAAGTGGGCAGCAGAATTTCTATTTGGGCAGTGCTGAGAGAGTAAATGGACTTCATGGGTCATTGTCATCTCCCTGATTCCTGCAGTCTCTCCACTTCACAGGTGTTAATGACCCTGTCTCCTTTTTAATGGTCCTGATGTTCCATTATTCAAAGTATCCTTTTTTCTACAATTTTGTTATCTGTTGGCCTTTCTTAGTAGTGTCTGTCTTCTATTTCACAGCTCTGCCGACTGTTTTTAGCTGTAGCTAAAAACCTTAACACAAGTATGGTAATATTAACTCAGGTGTAGCAATGACTGACAGTGAAGTTATTGGAGACACTGTCAAAATGCTCAAGAAAGCTAAATTTTGTTTCACGAATCTGAATAAGAGATGTATGATAGCTGTAATAACCAAAGGGCTAATGACACACTAGATTTTGACTCTTTTGACTACTTGTAGCCTAATTTGTTGTAGTTTTTTTAAACTTTAGATTTAAGCTAGCACATTAGTGCACATTCCAATAGTTGTATTTGTTTTAGCGTTGAACTTAAATTGAATAATATAGTGCTAGTCCCTTGCATATTAGTAAAGCATCTAGTTTGTTTTTAACTGGAGAAAAATTTGTGTTGTATAGGAGGATGTGCCACACCATCTGCCCCACCCCGCATTTTCAAAATCCTAGGTCCACCCATGGTAGTGGCATTTGATAGGGCTCATAACTATGTGACTAGAACCTAAAACATGCTGCAGTGTGTCTTATTGCATACTCAGCCATGTGTCACTGACAGAAGAACACAGGGTGCATGGAAGTATGATTTTAAGTTCACACATTTTCCTGAGTGCAAATTCAAGCTACAGCGATTGCTTTGTACCAAATTAGCTGTCCTAAGCACAAGGCCCAATTGATTTCCTTTCCCTTTAGTTACATAGAATGCCCTCCCATATATCTAAAAATACAGCAGATGAGTAGAATTGACAGTATTAAAAGAGGAGAGTTTTTGAACATACTACCATTTTTTACTTCCTATTTTGTGCTAGCAGGGAATCATTCTGGCAGAGATTCTTCCTGCTACACTTCTCAAAGTCCTGCTCCTTGCTAGGTTTACTAAGCATGCAACCTGCAGGAACCACGCTTTCAAAAGTCTCTTTGAAGTAGGTTCTTTTCTTGTACTGGTACATACATATCCACAAACAAGGGGAACAGGATGAAGTAGCTTCTGAGGCAAGTACTGTACCTGTAAAGTCTGAATTCAGAAATTTCACTCTACCTCTTTTTCCCTCTTTAGCCGGACCCTGCAGGCAGAGATATTTCCATCCGACCAATCTTGGAACACTGTGAAAACACACACATGACCATTTGGCTTGGCATTGTCTATGCCTACAAGGGACTGCTTATGGTATGTATTGCTTTTCCTTCATAGTTCAAGTGTTTGGTTGCTAAAAATACACTGAATTGTGTTTGTGTTACGTTTGAATGGCAGTAAGTCACTGGAATAAGTCTTTTTTCACTGGAATAATTGGACCTAGTTTAAAGTTAATTACCTGTAAATGCTAATACATAGATGTGAGAGAATGTTCAGTGAGTTAGGACTCCATTAAATATAATAGTTAGCATTTAATTCAATGAGTGCAATGAAAACCAAAGAATTCAGCTACCAGTGAATGGGATTGTGAGTGATAAATTCTTGTTAAAAAAACGAGCCTAATATAATGTAAGCCACAACCCTACCTTTAGTATTTGTTCTTGGCTAGAGGAACCCAACCCTCCTCATGGATTATACAGGGACTTTGGTGTCCACCCAGGGCTAGTCCACCATGAGGGCCAGGTGTTTAAACCCTAGATTGTGCAACACTGAGCATCATAGTGCCTAAATTACTTGGGGGAGTCAGGTTGTAGGCACCTATGAAAATTCAATCTGTTGTTTAGGGGGGCGTTTCTTTCTGAATGCTATGAATCTGTATGAATAGCACCTTCCATGTTAAAGCAAATTTGACCAGGACCTAACTACACTGGATAACTAATTATTGCTGAAAAATAAGTGAAAGAATTGAGGGAGCACCAGCTGTATTTTTTGGTTGATAAATATGCAACACATTATATACGCAGTAGGGGTGTGCGAATTGGGCCCTATTCAATTCAGATTTGGATTCAGCCCGAATCAGGGACAGCGATTCAATTCGTTGATTTGGATCACTGTCCCTGATTCAATTCAGCCGAATCCAAATCTGACGATTCAATGCTGATTCAGAGAATCAGCAATTCAGACATAGACACAGCTTTAAAAGTCTTTTCTATATACCTTGAGGTACCAGTGAGGCTTGTGAATATTGTGATGTTGGGGCACATGAAGCATCCCAAAGGAGTGCAGGGGGACCCTCCACAGGCTCAGTGGCAAACCCAGAAGTGGAACAGAAGTAATTCTGGTCCATTTCTGGGTCTGCTGGAGAGTGTGCAGCCTCCCCACCCCCGGCTGCTCCCCTAGCTCAGCAGTCAACCACGGGGGGGACCCCAGGTGCCCCCCCAAGACCCAGGAGGCACCACTTGCTGAGCCAGGGGGAGAGAGGGGAGGGGAAGCAGGGGCCTGCCCCCCTGCGTGCTCCCCAGCAGACCCAGAAGTGGACTGGAAGTGCTTCTGGTCCACTTCCAGGTCTGCTGCCGAGCGTGCTGGGGAGCCCCCCGTGCTTCTGTGGAATGCTCCATGCGCCCCAGCATCGCAGCATTCATGAGCTCCTGCTACCTAGAGGTATGCAGAAAAAACATTTAAAGCTGTCTCTATGTCCAAATCTCCAAATCTTTCTGAATGTCTCTGAATTGATTCAGAGGGTTCCGATTCAATTCAGAGAGATTAAAGGGTCCTCTGATTCGCTTCAGAGATTCAAATGCTGAATTGGGCCAAATCTCCACTGAATCGAATCAGGAACCGAAGCTTTGCACAGCCCTAACACACAGTTCCTAACTGCATCAGTGCACAACTATAAAAACAAAACTATTACACTTCAGTGTAATATATATACACACACACAGATACAAATATGTATATGTATATAAAATACCTTTGATGCCTTCTCAGTTTGATGCTACTATAAAGAAACTCTCATTATTGATATGTGGGCAGGTTTTGCCCTCTTTACATATTTGGTTTTATAACAGAGTTTTACAGACAAGTGGTTAAAAGGACCATAACCTTCTTTATATTTAGTCTCAATTTCCAAAGACACCACAGACCTAACCTATTAAGGCCTAGCATCCAGCTGAAGACATTGTGAATTGTCACTGCACTTTTTCATAGGTAATAGGTCATCATTAGCAGTTTTAAAATGTTTCTCTATAATTATGTTAATAAGAGTGACCGTGTCAAAAGTCTTGTCTAAATTCATTTAGAGCATTGAAATAAAAAGATCAACAAGGAATTTAAAATTCATGAAAAAATGTTGAAGAGTTCAAAATTCACCCATTTTATTTAACTTTTTATAGATATAATTTTTCAAGAATGTTTTCAGTAGAAAGGTCTTTTATAACTTTATTACAGAAACAGGAAACTCCTCACATAAAACAGGACGCCACTTAAAAACAGGCCAGAATGTCTGATATGCGTAGTAAAATGAAGAGGGTTTATTCCCCGCTCTGGATTCTGATGGTGTACCCTTGTCCATACTTCATTCTTTGACTGTAAATGATGAGCAGTGGGGTTGTTTGGATAATTACTGATACTTTTTTCTACTGTCAGTTTTTGCACAATCAAATCAGAATTCCAATATTATTTAATTAAAAACCATGCTAGTGACAATTAAGGGTTACAGATTTGTATCAAGCTGATCGTTTGGCTACTGAGAATGTTGCTAACTCTTTTTCACATCAGAAACACTATTTTCCTGCTGAGCAAACTTCCATGTATGTGATCTATTGAATGCTGAAAACTGATGCATTCATCCACAAGCAACATCCTCTGTGAGATGGAGAAAATTAAGACAATTAACAATAAATTTCAAATATATTCACATACTTCATCATAATGGGTATGCTCTAAATATACAATTTAGGCTGGTGAAAATAAATTCTTTCTATAAACACCTATGCATCTCCCAGAACAAGCAGAGCAGGCACCAGAGGCCTACATGATGGTTGGGAGAGAGAGGGAGGTCCAGGGGCCTCATCAGGCCCATGCCATTCATCCAGCCCATAGACTGCTTTGGGACCCCTCCCCTGATTTGTAAGGCCACATAAGTCTGACACCCTAAACTACTCTGTTAACTGTATGCATTCTTTAATGGGCCTATTCACAGTGCATTGTCACATTTGTGAAATCTTTAAGGCTAGGGCAGACATTCAAAAAACCTGAACCTGAATTGATCAATCTTTGCAGGTTAGTCTAACCTGGCTAGGCTAAATCAGTTTTGTAAGCAGACAGACATCCCAGAAATGCAGACACATGCCTGCAGTGGCTCAGGCTAGAAGCCAGGGGGTGCTAGAGCAGCCCTCCCTTCCCTTACACAGGACTATGCTGAGGGGGGCATGGCCAGGCCCGGGCAGGACACTGTGATTAGGGAGGGCCCCCCTCAACCCCGATAGAGCATTTATCAGCTATGTTATAAGCATTTAACACCCCATCAGAAAACAAAGCCTTGCTCATTACAAGCTCCTCTTAAACAGCTTTTCCAAAGGAAAATGCATACCAGCCTCTGGCTTCTTTACTATTCATTCCATCCAGGCAGAGCACACACACCAACTGCAGATGCTTCCTCAGCCTGATGAACGGTTTTTAAACCCAAAAGCTTGCTAAGAAAAATGTTTCCATCTATTTAGTTGGTCTAATAACAGATATCAGATTTATCAGAGAACCTTGTCTGCCTTTTCCAAAGGAAGAAATGCAGGGACATGACTATCTGAGGTGTTGATTACTTCCAAAAAGCCCGAAGTGGACAGTGCCCTGTCTGCCTTACACAGCATTAGCTAGCAGACCACAAGCTGGCTACAGACCCTGCTGTAGAAAAGAGGAGGAAGGGATCTCTGCTTAAGCAGTGAGTGGGAAGTAGTGGGGAGGGGGGCATGGCGAAGCCAGGCAGACTCTGCTGTGCCTGCAAGTCTGTGCTGAGCTCCAGCCAGGGAGGAGAGGGGAGGGGCCAGGCCCGCTGTGGAGTAGAGAGCCCCTCCCACCCCAGAAAGCATGCCAGGATGCTGGGGGTGTCTGGTTTAGCTTAAACCAGCAAAGGGTCTGGGACAGACATTGCATAAACTGGTTTGAGCCAAATCAATTAAGTCTGGTACTACATTCAACCAGGTTTATCTCAAACCAGTTTCAGCCATTTTCCAACTGGTTTATGTGCACTGAAAATCTGTTCTGTTACACTTTTAAACCAGTTTCTGATCACTTAAAACAGTTTATGTGTAATTTCTGTCCCTAGCCTAAGGGAACAAGACCTTGGATAGTGCCAAGCCTGATGAATTGTGTGTAACCAACCTTTTGTCAGAATTTGTAACAGAGAAAAAAAAGTTGCAGTATATATATAGTTGCAACTGCAACTAAACATCATTATAAGGGTCACTAAGAGATATGGGGTAATATTCAGGTTGTCTCTCATTTCTTGTCAAATAAATTATACAGTGTTCAAAAGGCTATGTAAAAGAATTCACTGCAATTCACAAATGCAGTGTTATTAATTACAGCTACCTATGCTGTGTTTTAGAACCGTGAGTGAATTACCTTGCTTTTATTCCTTGCTGCTAGAAAAGATTCCCTTTTACTAGTCACACGTCTAGCTATTATGGTGCTCCTTTGTCATTAACATAGGTTGTTTTTGAATAGTCAGATGTATGAGGTCCACAGGCACTTATATGTTTCAACTCTTAATCCCGGGTGTTTCATTTTCTGTATGCAAGGCAGCTGCTCTATCACTAGATACAGATAACAGAAACCACTTTGATCCTTGTGAAAAATATTGTAAAAATTTCTGAGATACAAACCTCAGCAATCAGCAACAAGATAAAAATTTGTTTAAATTATTTCACACAATTCACAAGAACAGCTGGCATGGATGAGTATGTAACTATCAATACAATAGTCAAGATTGGCTCTAGTTGAAATGACCTTTTGGGCACCAACAGAAGTGACATTTGTCATGTGAACAGCCCCCTGAAAATGCTCTATAGCCATGCCATGACACACATGTATGACTGCAGCGCTCTTTAAAAGTAGCCAATCATGTGACAAATTAACCCTCATCTATTGAGGGATCAGATAAATGTGCTCCAAAGTAGATCTCCTTAGGGAACTTTTGTCAATCCCTGTGTGCAATCAGAGCTGAGATGATGCAGCCCAGCCCCACCCCCAGTGCTAGCTGTAGAAAGGGAGTGGAGAGACAGGAGGGGGAGGGAGCTGTAGTCTGGGGTTTGCACAGC